AAATGGCCTTATAGGGGTTACCCCACTTATAAGTAAGGTTATAACCCCAGTTATAACTAGTTACTAAGTCCCATGAACCTCCAAGTAGCAGGAATAGGAACATTTATGACCACGGGCTAAACCCTAAACCCTAATCCCTGAACCCTAACCCTGAACCCTAAACCCTGAACCCAAATTCTGAACCCAAAACGCTCAAGACTGGACCCCAGGCCCCCCGTGGAGATTGTCAGTACAATTTCACCCAAGTTAACCAACCAATGTGGGTGGTTCAGGTATGAAGGTTTAGGGTTCAGGGTTTAGTTCTTGGCTGCTGCGCTTCCTGCACCCTTCCCCTCCGAAAGTAATTTTGCCAACTTCTTTTATACCCACAGAATGAGAGGCTATGGACTCAGCTGCACAATGTTCAAAACTACTCCGTGGTCCGATCTTAGGGTCTCAATGCTAGGAAGGTCATGAACAAGGCAAAATTCCTGTTCCCATTATAGGCAATAACGCCCCATACATTTAAAGTCTTTATAGACTTCGGAGAGCCCCTAAATAACGTTCCCAAAGCACTGCACATCAACTCCCATTTGATTCAAGTGCTCGATTCGGGGTTGAAGGTGTAAGGCTGAACTGTCTGGACCCTCCAATGTAGTTCCTTTTTGGGTTTGGTATGGTTTTTGGTTAGGACTCGTAATGAGGCTGTTTGGAGGAAACGTCCACCTTCTACGTGAAAGTTTTAGGTTCAGGGTTCAGAGTTCTAGGGAAAACCTGCAATTTCAGTACAGCATTTCTTCCCAACCGGCGCTTACTTGCGTCAGCTAAGATGGTCTAGGTACTTGCCCTACACTCTAGCACCGAACAAAAAACTGGGATGGGGATTAATTGTTTTAGCCCTAGGCTATACACCACATCCTGGAACAACAGTAAGAAGCACTGGTGATGCCCGGACACATACCAGCCGCTACCATCAGGAGCAGGTTCATAATCTGCAAAGCCTCACTGGAACAGGGCTTAGCTGCTTACAGCTAACAGTTCAGGATGTACTTCTTGAGGCAGGGCATAGGCGTGTTTCTTTTCAATAGGGATCACTCAATACCTTTGCAACAGCAGGTTTGGGGGCTCGAGGGTACGGATTGGAGTAGGTGAACCGCTGCCTCAAATCCCAGCACAGCCCCTGACCCCTCTAAACCCAGAGCTCGCAACCCAAAATCCTGAACTCTAAACCCAAAACCCTGAACTCTAAACCGAAACCCTCAGAGGAAATCTCAGCTCTACTGTCCTCTTGCCCATGGCCGCTCTGCTATAATTAAATACGGTGCTGCCCAATTCCTTCATACTTCTGCTAAACACCCGCCACCCTGGTATTCAACATGTCCCCTATATATGACGTTTTTCATGGCATGGGGAGTTCAGTACCGTATGAGAGGATCAAAACCATTCGGCATGATACAGAAGACTAAGTAACGCATGGTGCTATCGAATGCAACACCATATCGTCGAATATCAAGTGCTACTCTGTTCAAACGCTATAGAACACTACCATAATATACCATGATATACTGTAATCCACGACCATATACTGTAATCTACCATAAAAACACAACATGTGTTATTCTATGATGCTATCTAGCTATGGAGGGGCAAACCGAGGTGATCTTAAATTGGGCAAGATCCACCGAGCACAAATGGGGGTATTGTCCCCCTCAAGTAGATTGAATATTCAGCTATAATGGGGTAATGGAAAAGCAAATGGAAACTACTACTTTTCTGTCAATTCGGATCGCCAATACACTCGAAAACATTTCCCCCCAAACAGGATCATCGCTACCCTAGACCCTATACTCCCGAAACCATCGGCCTTTTGCTTCAGCTCACCTCTAAACATTCCAAAGCTACACTAATAATTGATCTCATATGGTTCTAGACTCCTTGTACAATTACGTTGTGGGTACCTTAACTGCATGTCAAAATGATATTGATAGTTATGGAGGCCTCTGTACTACACTTGGGACATTGAAAAGACCCTGTATGAACTTATTGGCAAGAAGGGACTGGTAGGCGGCACCCGCTCGGGTGTTTTCGACCTCTGCTGCTTTCGAGTGGCTCTTCCTGAGATTCGAGGTTTCAGGGTTTCAAGTTGCGAGCTTAAGGGTAGGTCGCCCAACCGCCTAGTGGGTTTAGGGTTTAGAGTGCTTTCCATATTGAGTTCTGGGGTATCAAGTTGCGAGTTTATCGGGGTGTAGACCGACGTCCTAGGGGGTTTAGGGTACAGAATACTTTTCAGTTCATGTACGAGTCTTAGAGTTCAGCCCATGTTTTTATAGGGTCTCTAAAGCGCTGCATGGGATATATAGGAATGTGGTTTCCAACCCCTGCCCCAAATTCTACATACCCATATGAGTCTAGGACGGAGGTTTAACCAACCCCATAACCCTGATCCCTATACCTAAACCCTACTGTATACCCCCATGACTTCTAGACCCTTAAAAGCCTTTTAATCACAGCTACCGCTAAACCCTCACTCCCATGACCCTTTAAAAGCAATGACAAAAAAACAATGTAAACCCTGATTAAAGAGGGAGGCTCCATTTCCTATTCCGCTAAACCAAAACTCTAGACCCTAAACCCTGAACCCGAAGCACTGACCCCTACCTGGACCCCAAAAGTAGGCAAACTTATGGCCCAAAACCAAAAAGGCCATTATTCTACATACTTTGGGGTTCAGGTAAACCGTAAATCCTATTTCCGAACCCTAAACCCTAAACCCTGAACCCTAAACCCCTAAACCCTAAACCCCTAAACCCCAAACCCTAAACCGCCTGCCACATTCCCTGGCCAGGCTTCGAGATTTAGACCTCGAAGCCGCCGCCCGCCGCTTCGGCGAGGGCGTTCGCTTTCGGGGCGAGGCGCTCTCCTTTTGCTAGGGTTTAGGGTTTCGGGTTCAGGGTGTAGGGTTCAGGGTTTAGGGTTTAGGGTTTGCATGGGGGGATTTAAGATTTAGGGTTTCAAGGTTAAGGGCTTAGAATTTAAGCTTTAGAACTTAGGGTTCAGAACTTGGAAATTAGGGTTTCAAGGTTCAGGGCTTAGAATTTAAGGTTTAGAATTTTGGGCTCGGAATTTAGAATTCCGGATTTAGGGTTTAAGGGTCTGGGGTTGAGAGATTTAGGGGTCCGCTACAAAAGCATTATACGGAATTCATAGGGCCATAAGATTTAGGGTGGAGGGGGATTTCATGTTTAGGCTTTTAGGGGTCCAGTACAAGGAGGATGTAGGAACCCTAAACCCTAAACCCCTAAACCGCGTAGGGCTTGGGCGCTGTTGGGATCCCTTACCAGGGATTCTATTGTTTAGGGTCTCAGGATGTAGAGGTCCATTAAAAGGATCCTATAGAGATTATAGGGAGATATATAGGTATCTGGAGAAATTTATGGGGAGGAGCTTTGGAATTTAAAGTTCCGGGATATAGTGCTTAGGTTTAGGATTTTGGTGTTTAAGGTTTTGGGGTCTGGGTATTATGGGAGCTTGGGATGCTTTAGGGATCGGGGATTAAGATTGAGGGATTCGGATTACATGCTTCAGGGTCTAAACCCTGAAGCCTAAACCCTAAATCCCAAACCCTAGACCCCTAAGTCCTAAACCCTAAAACCTAAGCCCTAAATCGAAAGATGCCAGGAATGGGGATCCCAGGAAATTGGGGGAAGGAGTTTGGGATTGTCGGGCCGAATGCTTAGATAGCTTTGGGTTTAGGGCGTAGGGAATGAGCGATGCGGGTTTTGGGACTAGTATTTCAGGAGTCTAGGATTTAGGGTTTGGGGGGTTTGGGGCTTTTGGCATTTGGGGTTAGGGCTTATCTTCGGGGTCTACGGAGTTAGGGATCCTCATATGACTACTGTATCCCCACCCATCCCTAGGACCCAAAAAACTGGAAGGATACCATATCACGGCCTGAAACTTCGACCGGAGAGTGTAAGCTTCAAATGGTTTAGGGTTTAGGGTTTCAGGGTCTAGGGTTTCAGGGTTTAGGGTTTAGGGTTTTAGGGCTTAGGGTTTAGGGTAAACTGCTAGCATCCCCCTTAATATCCCCTATAATACTGCCCTATATACAATTCCTTCTAAAACCCCTTTTAAGGAGCTTAGACCCTAAACGCTACACCCTAAACCCTATACAATCCCTAGGCCCCAAACCCTATATGCCCCTCTTTGAAAAATGTAGACTTTTCCTCCAATAGCATCGTTGCCAACTACGGTTTGGCATTTCGTGGCTCAGGTTTAAAGCTTAGGGCTTAGGGTTTGGTGGGGTTCACGACTGAAATTTGCACACCTCATCGACAGGACTTCCCTCTGGGTACAGCCCTTCACGGAAGTTATGAAGCAATCCCTGGATTCTCCTACCTTTGGGCCAAAAACCGCCTTATAAAGGTACCCTTAAAATAGTAGACATAAGGGTCCCCTTTGTAGTTTAATATACCCAAGGGGCTCAATAAGGGCAGTAGAGGATCATGATGCAAGTGATGAGGTTCAGGTCTTGGGTTTTGGGGAGCAGGGTTCTTCTTTGAGAGCTAGAAGGCTGTGGAGCTAGTATAGCTGTATATCTGTCATGGTCTATCTTTCGGTCATTCAGAAGCAGCCGGCTTTTCTGTGGTTACACAGGAAGATGATGGTCTATCTTTTTGTCATTCGGAAGCAACCGGCTTTTCATGTGGTTACACAGGAACATCCTCCAAATGATGGGCTTTCTTGTGGCACCTTATGATAAAGTTTATGGGACAGAGATGTGTGTAAATTGAGATATGTAAGGCTTCTTGAATGCCAGAATACCATTGATGGGCTGGTCAGTATCGGCAATCCTCTCCCCAAAAAACTCAACACACTCCCCCCCCTCAGCCCAGGAAAACAAGTTCCCCCCTTACGTATGGAAAGGTACCATACAGGGAAAAGTGTTATTCAGAGATGTGTTAGGGGGACCCCGCTACCCTGTAGTAGTGGTATAATAGGATTTTGCGAGGACCCTAATATATTCCTTATTATCCCTTATAGCCACTATTACTGGGTGGGGGGTCCACCTAAGAGATGTGGGTATTCATCGAAGGTCTTTGATTCCTTGCCATGCTCAAGCCACGGGCTCTAACAAAACAGCAAAAACAACTGCTGAACAGCCCGGCTTCGTCGGAGGACGGCCGTCTACGATCTCCTGGGCGAAGAATGTAAGATTATAATGGTTCATTAGTAATATGAAACTTGCGTGGGAGAATGGTTCCAATTTTAGGTTTGTGGTGTGGCTGGTGCTACACATGGTCCCTAAACCCTAAACCGCCTAGGACGTCGGTTGACGGTTCAAGGTTGAGGTATCTTGGCTTGCCTTCTAACTGCTGGGATCTGTTTAGGTGTTTTCTTATCACAGAAGCCCACAAGGGACATGCGGTTCATGCGAAAAATCCTGCAGGACCCGAGCCTACTACAGTATCATAATCCCCCAAGTTAGGTTCCTTGATGTGGATTCTGCAGGATTTTGGGTTTCCATCAGAATCTCGGCCAGATGTGGTGTGGCACCTAGCGATGGAGGGTCTTCTGGCAATGAACTGACTGGTGCTTCAGGAAATTCAGGGAGTGAATATCGGGAGGATAATAGAGGGTATATAGGGATTCTCATAAGGATCCATTTCCCCACCTCCCCCTTCCCACAAGCAAGCTAAGGAGTAGCGACCCTACATCTCAAACCCGTAATGATCCAGCTCACGCTCTCCGCCTCACTCTCTGTGAGACGGACTGTCTTGCAAGTATGTACAGATGAGACCTTCAGTAACCATTTTGTGGGAACAAATCAGCATATACTGCAAGTGTACAGATGGGTGGTTGTCAAAATTATGGTTCCTTTTTGGGTACCCTAAATATTAGGTGCCGTATTATAGTAGGGATCCAAAAGGGGACCATAATTTTGACAACCACCCAGATAGGGTTGGGTTTAGGGTTTATTTTTTGCGGTGAAGGGGGATGAGGCTTTGAAGGGGACTGCAAACCCTAAACCTTAAACCCTAATCCCTAAACCCTAAACCCTAATCCCTAAACCCTAATCCCTAAACCCTAAACCCCTAATCCCTGAACCCTAATCCCTAAACCCTAAACCCTAAACCCGTGAACCGTGTGGCTGAAGACTTGCCATCTTCTAACCGGGAAAGAGCCGCAGTGACCAGCTTTCCGAGGCAAAGCTTGCAGG